ACTGAACAATGTAGGAGGATCTTGATCAATTTAGAACATCTGAATTTGGAAGCCGATTACAACACAATGGATTACATCACAATGGATTATTATCATTGACTGATTGGAAGTTACACATTCGATATGCAAAAGATGTCTAGTAGGCCATCTGAATCCATGGGTCCTGCATGTGGCCTAACAACCATTAAACTATTAAATTTTATAAGAGAGTTAGAGGTGATTTGAAATATACTGGAGGATGTCCACAGCTTCTAAGCAAATCTATGCCATTTTATGTTGGGGACTTGAGCATCTGAGGATTTTGGTGTCTTTTGGGATTCCTGGAACCAATTCCCTATGGGTGCAGAAGGGCAATAATATATGTATTTTCCTCTCTGGCGCTTACTGACTGCAAAGGCATATTTAGACATTTGCTACATGTAGAAATGGACAGCTCCCCTCCACCTCCCCAGTGTGTGGTTTATTTACAGTGTAGAAATCTTTGGCAATATTTACATGCATACTGTGCATCACAATCCAAACCTGAATAATTTCACTGAGAAAAGCTTGGCATCCATGACTCATTTGGAATGTGAATAGAAAAGTGTAGAGGGCATTCCTGCTGTTTTTCAAGTGACCCAAGCTGTAAAGTCCAGCCTTTAGAGAAGTGACATTTCAGAATTATTTCATGGGCATGATGACTTGCAAGTTAAAGTGGTATAATCCGATTTCTTATTTGTTATGAATGCCAATACTTAGAGAGATGAATTCTGTTACTTCTAAAAGCACAGAGATGTGGTTCAGCTCCCAACCTCTCGTTACTCATAGAGCTGCAATGTATGGGTAACATATAGCTCTTAGGTGGCCATATCATGACTAGAACTCTACTTGCTGTCCCCAGCAGATTTGTTTAGATGGTGCCCTGGGATGCTAGGGCTTGCTGGGGAAGGAGCAGATAGATAATAGGATGTCTGTTACCTTGCAGTCCTCTGTTGGTTTTCAAAGCTGGTGAGACAAAGTGTGGAAGTCAGGAGACAAGAATTATCCTGGGACTTGAGTTGTAGCCTCAAAGTTCAGAGTGATGCTTTGACAGTACATACCAGCTGTCATAGAGGGGAAACCCCCAGGTCTGCGCTAGTAAGAAGCTGTGTCTTCTGAAAATGTTTTCTATAAAAGAAGAAAATTTAAAAAAAACACGTACACACTTCCAGAACCCAGCAAGTTGACCTCTCAGTACCCAAAGAATCTTGGAGCTTTGAGTCTTGGTGATGTTTTGGAACCATTTCACTTTTTTTTTATCACCTGGTTTTTAATCAATTTCAGACCGTCTGAAAGAGCCAAGTGAGGGTCCGGTGACAGTATCAGTTCTGTTCTTCTCTAATCTTTTTTTCCTTAAATTATTTAAGTCAGAGCTACAGAGAGAAGGAAAGACAGATAGATGTCTTTCATCTTCTGACTGACTCGCCAAATAAGCACAACAGCTGCGACTGGGCCAGGTTGAATCCAGGAGCCAGGAGGCTCTTCCTGGTGTCCCATGTGGGTACTAGGGACCTGAGATTTGGGTCATCTTCTGATGTTTTTCTCAAGCTGCCAGCAGGGACCTGGATCAGAAATGGAGAATGGTGTTGCTTGCTACATCACAACATGTACCCCAACTCTGTTACTCTTCAACTAGAGTAGAGACTATTTGTTTCCTCCTCCTGGGCATTGGCTCTGAATCATGAAGTCTGACCAACTGCTAAGTTAGGAAGCTGGATCTGACTGAGCAGATGTTGAGCAGGACATGTAGGTGTCAAGGGTGACCATCAATCTAGTGATTCATGACTTCTCTCCCCCAGCCACGCTGGGGCATTGTCCTATCATAGAGGCCCAGGCATATGATGGGCCTCGAGCTCTTGCGATTCCTACTGATCTCCTGATTTATCTGATTGTGGAGGTGTAAGTGAAGATATTCATTGCAGAACTTCTGTGTAGGCTTGGTTGGGTACTCCTTCCTCTCAGTGGGAAGCTCAGATGGTACTTTCATAAAAGCTCTTGATCATTCTGGAGCTTTGTTGCTGTACTCTATCTTGCCAACCCTAAAGTCATGCTAGGGACTTGGAGCAAGTTGATGAATTTTTAAATTATTGCTGTCTTGGTTGTATAAAAGTTATTGTTAGAAGCCATACAATTAATAGCATTTTCTTTGGTGCCTGTGGTGGTTAATGGTATGTGCTAACTTGATTGAGCCATGAATGTCCATGTATTTAGTCAAACATTGTTCTGGGTGTTTTTGGATGAACTCATCATTCCCTATGAATGTAAGGTTTTTTTTTTTATTTCTGTGAAAAATGTCATTGGAATTTTGGTAGGGACTGCTTTAACTCTGTAGCTGTCTTTGTGCGGTATTGGAATTTTGACAATACTCATTCTTCTAGTCCATTAACATGGGATACCTTCCCATTTGCTTCAGTGTAAAATTGTGTTTTGATGTTTTGTCCAAGCATTGGGTTGCTTTCCTAATTAAATTTTGCTGGGCTTTCAATGAACTTTCCATTTACCAAGCACAGAAAATAGCAAATATTTCCAGAATCCTTTATGTTTGGATGTGGAATGCAAGTCTCTGCATTTGGCTAGAAATTCTGTGTTGTTTTCCTGGTGCTCTCTTACATAGTGTTATCAACCATTGGGAGTATGGCCAACCACTGAGAGGAATGAAGTCACTATGGTTGTGCAGATTTGCTGTCCTGAGCTGTTATAACAGAATGTATGCTTTTTTTTTTCCAAGGTAGTCTCCGTTGTTTGAACCTGTCATAGAACAGACATACTTCTAGAGGCATTGAGCAAATTTATTTGACTTATCTATACTTGCCTCTCTTTTTAAAACTTTTAATTTCAGAGTAACTTTAAATTTATAAGACAAACATTGCATGGTACAAAGATTTTACGTATATCTGATGTCCAGCTTCATCTGTTAACATCTTATGTTAGTATGAGGCATTTGCCACTATTTGTAAATCATACCCAGCTTCCCCTAGTTTTTAAAATCAAACTTGGGCAAACTAGAGGATGTCATGTTAAGTGTAATAAGTCAGACACAAAAGATAAATACTGCATGGTTTCCCTGACATGTGGGATCTTAAAATAAAAGCTTCTTCTTCTTCTTTAACCTGCCCCACAGGCTTCTACCCCAGTGAATAGCAAGGGGAGTCTAGTTAAGGGGACTCTGAACTTTGCATCTAGTGGCATCTCCTACTCCATCAGTTTAGATAATCTTTGGGGAAAACTCAACCTTCTCGATTCAGATTCCCATTCATCTCATTCGTTTTGCTTCTGTTTGAGATGGTATGTGGCATGGAGACAAGAGTTATGCATGGTCCGTGGACCCCCAGACCATGATATGAGACTTTATTTTCCTGATTAGTGTCTTAGATACCTGGAAATGAGCTCTGGTCTCCTGGTCACTGGGTACCTACCTAACCTACCTAAATGTGAGGTTCAAGTTTGCAGGTGGCAAGCTTATATTCCATTCTCTTGGATTGAATAGGACTTCTGTCTAAACCCAAATCCATGATTTGTGGTCATTGATTCTCCCTGAGTGGATCTGGTCTAGCTTCTCTTGGCCCACAGCTCATCTCTTCTGTTTCCTGACAATGAGTCTAGACTTGGGCAGTCTGACCCTCAGCCCTTGGCCATTGACTCAGCTCACTCACAGTGATAAGAAGATGCTTATGTAACTTCATCAGCTTCAGGAAAGTTTTAAATTTTAGGTCCTTTTCAGACCCATAGGAACCATGGGAGGCTCAGGAGTGCTCACGTAGCTAATTGGCTACATTGCTGTGTCACCAAGAGGTATGATCTGTCTCACCTTTTTGTGTCCAATGAGGAGCCAGACTCAAAGTCTTTCCACTTCTCCTCTCCACTCCCTCCTTCTTCTCCTCTTTTGCTTTTATTTTAATTAGTTAATTTGTTTGAAAGGCAGAATTCCAGAGAGGGAGAGGGAAAGGGAGGGATACACACAAACATACAGATAGATATTAACTGATTAATTCCACTGAAATTTCCGCTTTACCTTGACATAGAAGGTTGTAGTACCTTTCTGGAGAATTAGTTTGCTCATGAGTGAAATGGTGAAATCATTGACACTTCCTTTAGTGTAGTACTACTGGTTTACAAAGATTGTTGTTATCACCTCACTCTTGTTAGGGTGGCTATTATCCAAAACGAAACAACAATTTGCAACTTTTGTTGAGGTAGGTTGTGGAGAAAAGAGTATCCTAATACATTGTCTGTGTAGTAATGTTTCTGGGAATGCAAATTGGTACAACTATTATGGAAAGCAGTAAGGAGGTTGCTTAGAATACTAAAAGTGCAGTGTAGCTTGGTATTCTGTGGGAGAGCTTAAACATTCAGCTCTGCACTTGCTCCCTGCAGCCTCAGTGAGAAGGTTCTGTGGTGTGAGATTGTTATGAACTTGTGCCCGACCCCAGTGCTCACGGGGCAAGGCACTGTCTCTTCCAGGGAGAGCTCCCTGTTATGGGGAGTGGAAGTGGGTATCCTAGGAGGCAATGGGAAAACTCCCTACTTTGCCTCTCTAAGAAGGTTTTCTCCTAGCGTGGGCAAAGCCAATTAGGAACAGGAAGATCCATTTGTAGCTTTTGTCCGAAAGACTGACAAGGCTTTGATGCTTGGCAGACTTATGGGTTTTGTTTTGCTGTGTGTTCTCAGGACTCTGCTAATTGGATGAAAAATTAGGACTTCAGTATGTCTTCTGTGAACCCAGGGATCTCTATGGGATTCATTGGTTGTGGGTTAAGCTTACTATACTAACTTGATCTTGGAGTACAGCGACTTAACCTTTGTATTCAAAATGTTTCGTTGTAAAGCACTGCTCTTTTCTATGTCTCACAGGGTCATAGTTCCCAAGATACTGAGCATTGGTGGGAAGCAGAAATACCTGGATTGCTTGGTATTGTTTATGTCCTAGTTGAATCTCAACAGATGTCTTGCCTTATGTGCCTTGTTCTTACTGCTTTCAACAGACACGAATTTTGTTTTGGGGAATGCCCAGATCGTGGACTGGCCTATCGTGTACAGCAACGATGGATTTTGCAAGCTGTCTGGCTATCACAGGGCAGAAGTGATGCAGAAAAGCAGTACCTGCAGGTATTTATGTTTGGGCTTGTTCTGGTGCATGATTTGTTATGGTGTATTTGGGGAAAAATAGAATCACCTTGATGTTGTTCAGTATTTATTCTAAATATTGGTAGCAATGTTGTGTCTAGTTTATGCCCTATGCTGGGAAAATTGAAAAAGATGTAAAACATGGTTTCTAGAAAATGACAAAATAGGGGAAAACCCAGGAAGAGCCATTTTATCTTTGAAACGTGAGCTCCAAAGTTTATGACTCTTTGAGCTAAGTGTCCAAGTTAAGAGGCTCAAATAAAATGAAAGGGAAATGAAATTTTATGTGATTACATTTATTTTTTTAAATTTATGAATGTTTTAGAAGTGTGACTGCAGTGTTGGAAACAAGGGCTTTGTTCATAGAGCCTTCCTGCCATCAGAATTCTTTCAGAGAGAGAAGAGAACCACTGTTTTGTTGCTTTCTAATTCATGCTGTGACATTTTCTCTCTGATCTCTTAGTAATTGTGCTAATAGCACAGCTTGTGCATCTGACAATATCGCTAACTAGGCAGAACCCTTGGGCCACTGGGTTCAAAAAGTGCTTTCAAAGTGCTGTCAAGGTGTTGAGCTGGGCCTGTGGCCTGGACCCTGCCTGTCATCCCCATGCAGCGCCCTGATGCACTTGTTTTATTGTAACCTTGGGTTCCACTCTTTTCCTTCTTCAGTTGTCAGGAGGGTTTGCATGAAGTGGAATCAGTTCCATAGACCTGGAAAAATCAAGGACTAAATCCATCTCTGAAGTGTCTAGGAGTTCATCTCTGAGGCCAGACATCGTCTTGTATTTTCAGAAATCATGTTTCATATTATTAAATCAGTTAAGAAACTTTAGTTTGGCAGAAAATATTAGGTGTTTGGGAATTGCTTCAATTTTCCTAATTTTAGATTTTGGGGACTGAGAAATGGAAAATTAAAAAAAAATTTAAAAAGAGATTTATTCAAGTCCAGCACTATGACTTATCAGGTTAATCTTCCATCTGCAGCATCAGCATCCCATATGAGTACCGGTTCATGTCTTGACTGTTCTACTTCCCACCCAGCTTTCTGCTTTGTTGCCTGGGAAAACAGCAGAGGATGACCCAAGTCCTGGGGCCTCTGCACCCACATGAGAAATCTGGAGGAAGCTTCTGGCTCCTGGCATTGGATTGGCTTAGCTCTGAATGTTGTGGCTGTTTGGGGGAGTAGACTGGCAAATGGAAGATCTCTCTCTTTTTCCTCTCTGTAAAGTTACCTTTCAAGTAAAAATAAATGAATCTTTAAAAGTCTCATTAAAAAGATTTATATTCATTCATTTTGAAAATCAAAGTTAAGGAGAGAGAGGGAGAGACAGAAAGAATCTTTCATCTACTAGTTCACTCCCCAGAAGGCTACCATCGTCAGCATTGGTGTGGGCTGAAGGTAGGAGGCAGGTGCTTCATCTGGGTCTCCCATATGCATTGCAGGGGCCCAAGCCTGCAGACCACCCTCCTCTGCCTTTCGCAGGCCAATCACAGGGAGCCGAAGGGAGTGGAGGAGCCAGAACATGAGCCCATATGGAATTCCTGCACTGCAGTGGTGGTTTTACCTTCTATACCACAGTGCTGGCCTTGAAAATTTGAGATTTGCCCCCACACTGCTTAAAGTTATTATTATTTTTTAATTTTTATTTTTCATGATACATTTACACAGCCTCAGGGATTTCTCCTTCTACCTCTGCCCCGTTTACCATTGCCCCCTGCTCAAAAGTTTGGAAGTTATAATTTTGAGGTAATTTTCTTATGTTCTTGGTGTGTATTCTCCTCTAGGTATCTGTACATGTATACATCTGCCTTTACACCTCTTTCTATCCATGCATATACACAGCCAGGACAATTGGGGAGAGTTATTTTCACTATTTAGTGTGACTTAAACAGCTCTTGTTTTTAACCTTCTTTTTTGGTGTTATAATCAGAAACAAAATCACATAAACAACTTGTTAGCTTAGCCAATGTTATATGATATTTCTAAGCAACTTATTTGAAGACCTGAATGAAATCTTTCTCTGGACATGTATCAACCTTTGGGCTGGCTAAAATCCTAATAGCTCAGGAGCTGTTTTTACTTCTTTTCTGCATTGAAGGCATTGGCAATCTAATATATGGGTAAAGGAAACTTAAACCTTTTGCTAACTGTGGTTTGAAGAAGCATGCAGAATGGATGGATACCAGGTGTTATAATGACAGTTCATTTATTTGAACTCTCCACTTTTAAGGGATATGTTTTAACTTATAAGAGGAATTACAAGCATGGAACTTAAAAAACAGAGTTAGAAGATACTTTAAAATATTGAAATCCATATTCCATGAACTTTTGAAGACCACCTTGTGTGTATACATTATTTCACTTAGCTTGCCCAGAAAACTAACTCAGAAAGAGAAAGAGGAGAAATCCTTGTGTCAGGGCTACGTTAGTCTTGATCAGTTTTTCATCTTAAAGATAATTCAACCAGCTCAGTTTTCCAATTTCCTGGCTTATTTGAGGTAGACTATAATCATAGTAGAGTACTATATGGGAAACACGTAAAAACAAGCAGGAGTAATCATATCTTCCAGAGGGCTCTGATGACAAGATCACAGTGTGATGCAGAATGCATTATGTCTACAGCCTGGGCTAGTTGATGGAGTGCTGGAGTTTGGAAGCCTGCTGGGAGCCCAAGGCTGTTCCAGGATCAGGTGTGATTTGGTGGTTCAATTCTAAATCTGGAATTGCACCTGGAAATCTCTGAAAGTCTTTGTAGCTCTGACATCCTATGACTCTATAATTCAAGTCAACCAGAAGAAGTTGCACTATGTTGCATATACTTACTTTGAGAATATGGGAGGGGTGTCTTGGAGCCTGTGCCACTGCGCTTGCACTTCCCAAGACTTGAGGGAGTGACCCTTGCTGTCCTTCCTTGTTGTCTGAAGGCCCATGGTGGGCTGAGGAAGTGTTCTCTGGGTTGGTGGACAGCCTTGGTCTGAGAGCTGGTCTTCCTAGCCCCATTGAGTGATGACTTTTTTTCCGTGGTGTCTTGTCGGTGTGTTGGGCCATGGTCCATTCTGCTTAGTTAAGGGTATATCCTGTTTCCAGAGGTGCAAATGTTGATCTTTAAACCAATATAGTGGTGGTGTGGGGCGGGAGGTCCAAGAACCTAGACAGTCCTGGGCAGGTCTCTGCCTGTGCTGAGAGCCAGTGTTATTAGGTAGAACTTTTACTGTCCTTAGATTGGCTCTCATTTTTTTTAAAAAAATAGTGCTTATATATCCTTGTATAGCAAGAAGGTGTGTTCCTAAAATGTTGGATTTTATTCTCAGTTTGTTTTTAATCTAAAGTGTTTTTTCAGAAGTAGGTGGTGGGGGACAGGAAAAACAGTTGCCTAGACAGTAGCTGAACTTTCGGTTTCTTTCCTTAGTTATGTCTTAATATCACTTCGTTTTTAAAGTGGGTGCATTTTTCTAAGTTCTTGGGGGTTTATTTTTATTGGGTTTTAGAAGAGGAAAACTTTGTGGTCCCAAATTACTTGGTTATCTTTACCAGAATGTCTCTTACAGTTGTGTGTTAGAAAATGGAACCTGGTTTATTATGCCAGGTCTGTTCTGTGACCTGGTCTCTCTGCTGGCTTCTCTAAATTGCCTGCTGCAGATTCCCTCTTGTGTGTGTTCCTGCCCAACTGAACAGAACTGCTTCCGGGTTCTGGGATTACCCTGACTCCCACCTCTGTGCCTTTGCACATGCATATCTTTGGTTTGGAATGTTCCCTGCCATCCTTCTCAGCTGCTGTTCATCCTCAGATCTTGTTTATCCTTCCTCCTGAGAAATTTTCTCTGACCAGCCAGAGAGTGATTTGGGAATTCCGTGCTGTTTTCTGGTCTTCCATTTTCTAGCATAAATCTCTTGTTAGACTTAGCTTCTTTGGGATGTGTTTGTCGAGGGGAGGGGAGATGTAGAGGTGAAGATAGAGTCTCAAGCACGGTGAAATAAATCTTTTTAAATCTAACAGATAAGTTTACTTTGTATATGTGTATGTTCCATGGTGCCTGGCTCAGAGCTGTGTATAGAACACAAGCTCAAAATGTGCTCGTGGAATAATCCCTCCTTGTCAGACTAACTTGGGCTCTTTGATTGGTTTCAGTTTTATGTATGGGGAGCTGACAGACAAAGACACCATCGAAAAGGTGCGGCAAACTTTTGAGAACTATGAGATGAATTCATTTGAAATTTTGATGTACAAGAAGAACAGTGAGTATTCAGGCCACTCTGTCTCGTTTCTATGTATGTTTGGAAAATAGTAAAATGTGTGCGCTTCGTTTTTGTTTAATACATTATTTTCTCTCCCATCAGCTAAGTGTAGTTACCAGGTGTGTCATTGTGTATGTCGGGATGAATGATGCGGATTCCTCAGTTACACTGTTCCTCTTAGAAGTGCCGAAGGAGGTTCTGATCACTAACCAATGAGAACTTTTCCATTTATGTTGCTTCTCAGAGTTAATGTTTCTTCTGTTAATTTGCTTCTGACAAGTTGCTGGCATAAGCCACTGTGACTTTAAGCCTTTTTGCTGTGGGGACTGAAAAGAGGTAGGACAGAAATTCTGGCCAGTTCTTGTTTGTAGCTGCCTCCCGCAGCACTAGCTCAATGCCAAGTGGGGCCCAGTTATAAGTTTCTGAACAAACTTTTCCTCTCCTGGTGAGCCCTCAAAGTAGTATCAACAGAATTGCATTATTAATTTACCTTTGTTTTGACTACAATTGCCTCTACAAAGTATGTTCATGAGATGTCTAACTGTAACAAGCATTAACCCATTGTCTCCTAAGAGGCTTTGTAGTTGAACTGGAGATGGGTTGTTGCAGAGGTCTGGAAAATGGGGCTGAGGACCTAGCAAGGCTGCAGAGGCACTGATTCAGAAATTCTTATAGTTTTTGTCAAGAATCCTGCTCAGTTTATGTAGGACCAGTGCTCGATGATTGGTTCCATAAAACACTGCCAGAGTGGCCCAGGTACCGTCTGAGGACAAGTATTTATTTTGATAGTGTTCAGGCCTGAGTGATGTGTTTTGTTTGGGAAGGCAAAGGACATATGTAGATTTTATCTGGAAGGAGCTAGGACCTTTTCTTGAATCCAGACTGGTGTGTTGGAGCAGCGAACTGAGAGGACGTTGGATGTTGGCCTGGTGGCCGATGCTGCTCTTTTAGGGAAGTGTGCTGGGCCATCAGCAGGTCCGAGCAGGTTGTTCCTGCACCTTCATGCCGGTGTTGCTGCCTCGCTCCTGCTGATTCTCCAGCTGAGAGGTCTAGAGCCTAGCCTGCTGTTGGCTGCAGGAGGAAGGAGGTGAAAGGCTCCAGGGCTCCATGCCAGCTCTACTCTGGGGACATAACTCTTCCTGGGAGCACAGTAGCATTGGCCGTCTCCTGGGACACACACAATCTGCACACGTGCCCTGAGTTCATGCAGTCAGCTAGCTGCCTTTCACCCTGGCAGCTCTGTGTACTGTGGCTTCCCCCAGGACACAGACTGCTAGCAGATTCGGTGCATCCCACAGAGATGCCTAGCATTTGGATTTTGCTTCAGAGTTTTAACTTGCCCAAATTCAACTCTATGGGCTTGACAGCACAGAGAGAAAGAGGAAGAGAAGGAAACCTAGATTGAGTTAATGATTTCAGTTTCCATCTCTCTCAGGGAGCATGCGTCCCAGTGTGAATGAAATGCAGGAGTGGAATGTACTGGCACAGCTATTCCCGGGCCCCCAAACCCTGTATTGTGAATGAATCACTACACTGGAAGTGAATTTGGTATTTGAAGTTCTGTACTTGACGTAGATATGTACTATCCAGGTCAACAGCTAGTTCATCTGATGAACTAGCAAGGGGTTAACATTGCTTCCCTCCCCAGAGGGAACTCTCTTTTATATTCTCAAAGATCTTTAAAATCATATTCAATTTTTGCCTTAACCCTCAACTTTAGAAAATGAAGTTTGCATAATGATGGCATGACTGTTTTCAGTTTTAAATGATCAGTTCCCTTTGAAGTACTGAAGTAAGTCAGTTAAAGTTCACATCCAAGGTCGTGCAGCATGTGCCCACACATGGGCAGCTGGGCAGAGGACGGCGGCCCGGTCTGCTCCTCACCTCTGCCTAGGCCCAGGCGATAGCCTTGTCCTAACTGCTGGCTTCCCTGAAAAGAAACTTGGACCTTATAAAACTCTGAGTCCCTTGAGGGAAAGTCTCCCTTGTGTTGAGATTTTTAAAAGGGAAAGGTCACCATCGAAAAAAGAATGTTTGTTTTTCTTTGCTCTGATTTTTACGTTAATGCATTTTGATCATGAAGAATATATGAAGAAAATATGAATAACAAAAGCAGTCAGTGAAAACACTGGGAGGAATGCTGGTACTATTACATAATGCACGTGCTGTGGTGTTTCTTCGCTTTTTGTCTGCGCACAACTTTACAAACTGGAGATTTTGGCATGTTTTCAGTTTAAAATCATATGTGTATTTATCTTTCACCACAAAATATTCCCGTCATTAAATTCCTCATAAATATAATTTGGAAATGCATTAATGTATCTTCTAATGTTGTACATTTATGAGGCCTTAGGTTTTTTTCATTACCAATGTCGAAGTCAATATAATTGTGCGTTGTTGACATTGTGGGGTGTTTCTTAGAGACTCCCAGTTGTTGTGTAAAGGAAGTGAACTGAGGTTCCTGAGATATTTTGCCAAATAGGCTTCTAGAAGAATTGAATCTCTTCTGAGTTCACATGCAAAAATGTATGTTGGACCCATTGAACCTCATCAGCATTGAACACTATCACTTTTAAATGGCTAAACAGTCCACATTAGGTTCTTTTGTTTAGTGAAGTTTTAAAAATTATTAATAAGATTGAGTTTTAAAGATTTTATCCATTTAAAACTACTTATCATAACATTCTTTGCCCATATACTCCAATTTTAGTGATTTTTGTTACCAATTTTTATAAGCTTTTGGAAATTAAAAAAAAATTTCTCTGCAGTATTTGTATAGGTATTCCTTAGTGTTTTATTTGAAAGGCAGAGAAGAAAGAGAATTGGAGAAAGAGGAAACAGAGGCAGAGAGATACCTCCTATCTTCTGTTTCACTCCTCAGAATCCTATAGTAATCATGGCCAGGCCAGGTTGAAGCCATGAGCCAGGAACTTAACCTGAGTGCTCCACTTGGGTGGCAAGAATCCAGCTATGTAAGCCATCACTTGCTTTCTCCCAGAGTTTTCATTAATAGGAAACTGCATCTGGGAGCAAAGCAGGGACTCCAACTAAGGCAGTGTGGTACAGGATGAGGGAGTACAAGCAGCATCCTAACTGGTGCATCAAATGTGTGTTCCAGGGATTTTTAAGTGATGGACGTTAATGTTTGTCCTACCTTTTGGGAAGTTGGGAATAATGAACAGAAGGTTTCCTTGCATGGTTTGGAAAAATATGTGGAACACTACTACATTTCTTGAAGGATGGATTACTGGAAAGATTTCTTTTTGGCCAGTCTGAAGGGTTGGTGTCTCTGTAATGGGATAGATTTAAAAAAAATTGTTGCCTATTTTATATTCAGCATACTATATGAAGTTCTTATGTCTACCACCATTGTCATTAATGAACTCTTCTAGTAAATATTTGCCCGGTCATTCTAATGTTAGTGGATTAGCTCTTCCAGTTTTCAAGCAAGACAGTTCTAATCAAGAAAACAAGAAGTGTCAGCTCCGAGTTAAAGCAGCATGCCTTCTGGACACTCCCTAGCGCGTGACTCTGCAGTTTATGGTGTGGCTGGTAGCCCAGCCTTTTGGGAGGTCCATTTCAGCTTCCCAGGCAGAGAAACCCAGGAAAGGCGTTGTGCAGCAGTTCTCTTGGGCTGGCAAGGAGGAGCTGTTGGCCAAGCGTTGCTGATTGTTTACTGTTGTGGCCTCAGCCCTGGACCGGGCCTCCTGGCTGCAGAGGGACAGATGTGGGGAAGGGATCTGCCTTTGAGGACATTACACTCCCAAGGAGACAGGTTTACTGGGTAAAACAATCATATTTTGCCTATTTTCCTGATGGGTTATTTTTTCAGATTTGTTCAGTGGCAGGAGTTTTTTCTATATGGGATCTTCTAGAAGTTTGTGGAAAATGTATAGTATAAAAAACTGTGCCTAGATTTCATTTTTGCATCAAAATAAAATTATTGTTTAATTTGTTCTTATACATCCTGAATTCCCATCATATGCAATAGTTGCTGATCCTCAAACACGTGTCTATTGAAAAGTAGCTCCTATATTTTAAATTACTTTCCTATAACATTTTTTTAAAATGGAGACTTTTTCCCATATAAAAGTGAAGTGAACAATTTTTTGATCATTATTTTCCTTAATGGTCCTAAGTTTTGTGTAATACTTAGGAAGCTGTCCTTATTACCTAAATAATAAAAACACTCCTTCTTGGGCCCGGCACGGTGGCGCAAGTGGTTAAACGTCCTCGCCTTGCACGCCCGGGATCCCATATGGGCGCCGGTTCTAATCCCGGCAGCCCCGCTTCCCTTCCAGCTCCCTGCCTGTGGCCTGGGAAAGCAGTCGAGGACAGCCCAAAGCTTTGGGAACCTGCACCCGCGTGGGAGACCCGCAAGAGGCTCCTGGCTTCGGATTGGCATAGTATCGGCCCGTTGCGCTCACTTGGGGAGTGAATCATCGGACGGAAGATCTTCCTCTCTGTCTCTCCTCTCTGTATATCCGCCTTTCCAATAAAAAAATAATAAAAATAAATCTTAAAAAAAAAAACACTCCTTCTTTATTCCTTCTTGTAATTTAATAGTTGTATTAGAATACGTTGCACATTAATCCATTTGGAAGTTTATATGGAAATAACAATAGCAAGGTAATGATTTATTTTCCATATGGGCTGGTTCACTTGTTCCAAACTATTTATAAAGCAATTCAGCCTCTCCTTTCTGATTTGAAATGCCTTTTCATATATTAAGTTCTCCTACATTTATGAGTTGATATCTGTCTTCTTCTTGGCTAAGAATCCTATTGTAAGTCACTAGGTTTATGGAACTTTGATTGAGATACTTACCAGCTTGGGTTCCCTATATTTACAGTGCAAATACTATCATAGTAACTCTTTGACTTATACAGTTATTATGAGAAGTAAACCACAGTGTGTCAGGTCTGGACCCATTGTAAGAATTCAATAAATGACACTCCCATTGCCATTTATTTCCAGTCAGTACCAGTGATTCGTAATTA